TAACTGAACATGGAATTTGGGTGACAAAACAATTTATATTTTTGTAGAGAGATCACTAATCTTGTATGCTGCTGGCTATGTTAGACCCTATTTTAAACATCCTGTATTAAGTACTTAATTCCTTAGAATCTGAAATGAAGTTAGTATTCAATGAAAATCTTAAAACCTGAGTGAGATCTGCTAGTTAATATATTATTTGTTAATATATTGTATGTGCACTAAGGAGGGTCAGAAACTTTCCAGACACATTCAATTTGCTTTTTTTTTTTTTGTTTCAGGGATAGCAAACCTTAAAGACATTCTCATCCCAAACTAGTCCAAACACTGTGTTTTCATCTTTACAAATACAGTCCTCCTAAATACAACCTTAAAGACACTTTAATATCAGATTCTACTAGGTGCCCACCCATCTCTAGTCTTTTTTGAAAGGTAAAATAATGCCTCTGGTGGCACAGGCCTTTAATCCCAGCACTCAGAGGCAGAGGCAGGCGGATCTCTGTGAGTTCAAGGCCAGCCTGGTCTACATAGCAAGCTTCCAGGTCAGCTGGTGATACAGGGAGACCCTGTCTCAGAAAGACCAAACAAAAACAAAAACAAAAACAAAACAACAAAAAAACCCAATTCCTTAAAACAGATTTTTTATGTTCTTGGAATATTTTTTTATGGGCTGTGCTGGAGACAGGGCAGTGCTGTAGCAGGCTGTAATTTGGACCCTGACCAGGCCAATGAGCCCCTTTTAGGGAATTATGCATATTCAATACATTTTCCTGTGTGTAGTCCCTTCATTAGTCTCAAAGGGCTATGACCTCTCAAGTTTAAGAACCATCTCTAAAACAAAATCTGTGCCATTCACTATATGGAATCAAGGCATCACTCATTTTATTCTGCAGTTACCCAATCCCTTACACAAACTAGCTTATTTCAGACAGTACCATGCAAATATCACTAAGCAGTCAGTCTTTCATTAGGTCAGGAGGACTATATAAAATGAAATAATGTCAAACACTTTTCCTAAACATTTACTTTAATGAGAAAGCAGTCAGTAGAAAATCGGGGCTTGAAGCAATGCAGAGTGCCAAAGGGCTGGGTTTGGGTGAATGGCCACTGCATTGCTTTTCCTCAGATGCTTCTGTGTTTAAGAACCAGTAACATTAAACTAAGAAAATCAAACTGAGTTGATTCTTGTTGATTTCTATAACTCAACAGTTCTCTAACACAGCCAGGCCCAAAGAAGAACATTATATGGATTTTGAAAGAATTAGTAACCAGCCCTTCCTTCCCACTGCTCCAAGTTTTCTCACTTGCAGCCCAGTTCAACAAAGTATTAATTGACCTTGATGAGGCAATACAGCAAGTTTTCTTATTCAAGAGATTAAAACTGGCCTATTTCTATTTGAGAAAAAAAACAAAAAACAAAAAAACAAAACCCATCATCCAGAGAGGAGAGAAATGGGGGCAATTATTTCATGCCAGGTAAAATAGAAAAATGGTCACTTGGTTGCTATTTCAACTTGAACCACCTTCTCCCCGTTTTCATAAAAGCAACCGCAATTTCAACACCATCTGAGTTTTTCTGACTGACACTCCTTCCTGCTGCCAATATCAATACGAAGAAAACAGAGGCACCTAGTTTAATACAAAAAGCAGGTAGGGAAAGAATCTGTGTTGAGGTGAACACAAGTGGAAAATGCTCATTTGACAATAAGGTAGTGTCAATGCCTGTCTTTCTTTCTGTAGAGCATTCTAACAGTAATAACGTTTAACCGAGATATTTTGACCAATGAAACAGTATACTAGAATACATTTAGAAAACATGTTCTTAAATATTTCAAGCATATTCTTAATGTATCATTTAAAACAAATGCAAACCAAAACACACAGCACATCACTGAATAATATAAAGTAAAATTAGGCTTTTACTATTCTAAGCGATAAAGACTTTCTAATGCCTAACAGAAAAACTAATTAGAAGACCAGTTCTCTCAGAAGCAGAACATTTAAGTGAAAGTCCCTTCAAAGAAAAACCTCAAATGAGAAACATTTACATAATAAAATATTTACAACTTTTCAAATACCAAACTCTAATACTGTAAAAACAGCAAAGTTTGATCTAGAAGTAAACCATGAAATTGAACGTTAAAATACAACCAAATAAGCCGTAGCCAATTTCATCAGCTCTTTTGGAAATCACATGCTGAACTCTCATATGAATTTGTTCACTACGGATGGGCAGTTAAGTATTCTAAAACTGCTCAACACATCAATAAATATTTGGCAAAAAATCCATGCTAACACTGGTACTGTATTATAAAGAGAAGACCACAGTTTCACTTAAATAAGGTATATTTTAAAAGCTCTCAACTCAGATCCCACCTGTACTCCAAAGGCTGGAGATCTCTAGAAAATCCATCACTTTTTTTGTCTAGCTTGCTGCTGTCAGTAGGAAAAATAAAGGTCATTTCTTACAGTCAAGTTTTCTGAAAAGACGTTAAGCCTCATCAGTCCAACTTTACTAGTATGCTGAGAAAATTCTTTTTTTGAAATGAGATCTTCAAGAAGAAATAAAACAATTTTCATGTATATAAAATACTATGTACCTCTTTAGGGCAGAGCCTATCTTGTTCAAGAAAGTACTAGGGAGATAGAAGGTGGGCTACTTATTTACTTATTTTGATGAATGATCCGGCTTTGATACATACACTAGATTATAAATTCTGCCCAAATGTGAACTCCCTGAGAATAAGGACCTATTTCATCTCTTTACAATCCCAAGGTACTTATCCTAGAACAGTATTTTTGTAGGAAACACTTAAAATACTTGGTGGAAAAGCTGAGCCATTAGCTGGATTAATGTGTGGTCAAATAGGTGATCATTTTAAACAGTACTATAATTCGATTATTTGAATTATATAACTGATTTAGTCTTTAATCTTAATATCATCTTTTAATTTTTGAGGCAGGGTCTCATTTTGTATCCCAGTTTGGTCTTAAACCCATGATCCACCTGCTTCCAGCCTCCTAACTGCTAATCACAGGCCTAGCCATGACACATGGCTTTTCTCCCAAATTTCTTAATATTGTGCTTTATAAAATTAAGAACCATGGTTTTCTAGACATGAATTAATGCACAATCACTGAACATGTTAAAGAATTGTTTTAAAGCCAAGAAAAGTTTACTTTGATTTTTAAGGTTTATGCTAATCATGAGACCTGTTTCTGCTATCTGTGAAAGTAAATCATACCTTGTTAAAATGGTAAGAGATGTGAAATTCTTTAAAATTAAGTCAATAAAGGCTGCAATGCAGAAACAGAAGTTCTTGCTGACAGGAAAGTGTACTCTGATTATATTACTATCACACAGGAACTTTAACCTTCAAAAACACAAAGAAACAAAACCATACAATTTTTTTAGGCATTTGCCCTGAAATGCTTCCTAGTAAGACAGAGAGCAGGGATCAAGAATGATGTGCTGCTGGGCATGGTGGCACACACTTTTAATCCCAGCACTTGGGATACAGAGGCAGGCAGATCTCCATGAGTTCAAGGGCAGCCTGGTCTACCTAGTGAGTTCCAGACCAGCTGGGGCTACAGGGATACCCTGTCTCAAAAAGACAAAAAAAAAAAAAAAAAAAAAAGATGATGTGCTAGATGGAGGCATGAAAGTCCCCTTTAAGAGTGTAGCTTCCCACCATGACCAATTAGCCCAGGAAGCAGGCCCACAATGCTTGTGTCCTTCCTGACTTTTTATAATGAAAACTTGTATCTAGTATGAGGGTGCTGACTCCTGTGGAAAAGATGTAGTCTTCTTAGATCACAAGCAATTCTCTCTCACTTTCAGCCTAATTTCATTATTAACTGTAACAGAAGAGTATTTTAATCTCCTTTCTTTTTGCTTCAAAAATGTGAAATGAAAGACTCTAAATAAACTGTTATGGTTTGAAATACACTTTTCCACCATATATTTTATATATGATTTGCATTTCAAAAGCTACCACAACCCAGCTCAAGGTTTTGAAATTTATAAAACTAGTCAGGCGCAGTGGCACAAGCCTTTAATCCCAGCACTTGGGAGGCAAAGGCAGGCGGATCTCTATGAGTTCAAGGCCAGCCTGGTCTATATAGTTCCAGGCTAGCTGGGGCTACAGGGAGACCATCTCAAAAGAAAAAAACAACAAAACAAAAAAACACAAAACCAAAATACAAAAAACTAAAGATTTCAAGTTACGTCCAAAACTTAAGGAACCAGCTTGTTATGAAAGGGATTCAGCTTTCAGTACTAGCAAATCTAGTTATCAGTCTATATGAGAAGCACTGGTTTTAATGAAATGCACATTTAAACACTGGCAAAGCCAGGGCTCAGAACATTATCATACTTGGAACTCTACCACAGATTTAGACATTAAGCATTTATTGTAAGTTAGGTTTGGAATTTGTTTTGTAATTCCAACTGTGATGAATTTCTAAATATAAATAGTACTTCAGTTTTTCTTCATTCATGCTGGATTAAGATAGAAATTAAATACAATGAAGTTACATTTAATCACCTCACAGGTAGGAGGGATAATACAGTTTGCTGGTCTGTAGCTACTTAAGTCTGAGACATTTCACATTACCTTTCCCACCATTCCCCTAACTTTACATTAGTTTTAAGGCTATATATACAAATATATTTATTTCCAAGTTAGGGAAAAAACAAATATTAACAAAATGTATTATGCTAACTTTTGTACACAAAATTTTGACTTTGTATTTAATGTATTTTAATCTTACATTTTAAATAAGTTTCCTGGTGGGAAATCTAACTGATTCAATTCATGGTGATAAATACAATACTCAACCTAAAGAGACAGAAATACAGAAGGGCACAGAACAGTAGTCTTTATGATGTGACAGACTGTAAAACTTACTTTCACATGCTTAATCAGAGGAATTTAAGCCTAAATTAAATTAGGTATTTTTACATCTACAATCCTGTAAGGTTTGAAATTTATTTTTGAAGGCCAACAGTTAAATATTATCAACATGCTATATTTCAAATCACAAATACATCTTAACCACTTAGTTCTAAAGACATGGATCAACTAAAATGTCACAGGCAAACACACACTCAACACACATACATCTACCATAGTGCTAGATTGTCAAACTCTGACAATTATTTTAATTAACAGTAGGCAAATTCAAGCTGATGCACATCTTAATGAAAAGTAAACAGCCTGAAAGAAGCCTGTTTTAAAACCAGATTAAGAAACAACAGAGACTTAAACCAGTCTTTCTAATGAAAGGGAAACAGTTCCATCTGTGCCTTGGGTAACAGTATTAACCAATTAAAAGAGACTAACATCCTTCCCTACGAGAAACATCTCGTTTACAATGGCATGGCGTTTTGAAAGGCCGGGGTAAAAGAGGAATTACACATACATGATTAAACTTCTTGTTTGTTAAATCAAGCTTTATTGATAAAATGGAATTCAGAATATCTTACTAGGAACAGCAGCAGGCCCAGCCAATCATGATAGAAAAAAAATGTGGCAGTCTCCTACTATATGTAGGAAGCTGCTGCTTATCAATTAGTAATTAAATGTAAGGACTTGTAAAAGAGGTGCAAAGAATCAAGGCATTTTAGTCCCAAGATTGATATTCTTATGAATATACTGTATTACCTGCAGTACTCATGGCAACAAGGAGAAAACACCTTAGAAGACAGCTAGGAAGGAAATGGCTTTCTCAACAATGCCAATTCCCTGCCAGAACATAAGATAGTTCTCCATAACTTCTTGGATGTACGGCTTTATAAGATTTGGAAATTATTCTCCAAAATCATGTGCACATCTGAGCATCTAGCTATGTGACTGCTGCTCTCCTATCCCAACCCCAAGTCCAAACACAGCATTACCTGAAAGGGCTATGTATCTGTTGCATCACACAACAAGCCAAACGTTTATCATTGATAGTGATTTTAAAGCAGTTCATAATTAAATATGAGCATTTTGTACAAGGACAATTACACTTTACAAAAAAAAAATCATACAACAGAAATTGCTGGAGTCTGATTTACAACATGAATTATGGTGTGAAATCACGTTTACATAAGTCTCAAATTTACAGAAAAAAAAAAAAATCAGTTCTGGGCTAGCTGTCACACTGCTGAAGTTCTCCGGTGTAATCACTCTCACCAACGTCACAGCCCCTTCCTTAAAGCTGAGGATGGATGGTAAAGGGTCAGCAAAGTTGAGCTGTACTCTCCTTTGGAGGTGAAGGTAAATCCGTGGCTAGATGAGTAGTTTTACCACATATCATCAGTTGATGTAGAGTCCTTTCAGAAGGAAGGAAACAAAACAAGGAATTAAATGAAAGCTTAGAGAGAGGTGCCAAAATGTACCACTTCCTGGGTAAGTAGAAAGAGAAGGTTTTACAGAGTTAACTTCGGCAAGAACCTTATTGATTTTTAAAATATGTATGAAATACCATTATTTAATATATTCGGCTAAAAAGATGAACAAACCTTTGGTTTTTGGAAAATATTTGGACTAATTTTACTATGAGGTTGAACAAATGTATTATTAAATCAACAAAGCTACTAAAAAACAATCTTTTAAAATTCCACTGTTTTATTGCATTGTGACAGATTAAGACTTTAAGTCAATTTAGGCAAGCTCTGCAATGCAACACATACTATTTCAGCTACACTCTAAGAATGCAAGTTAAGGACTGCAAGAACAAAGTTAACTAGAGAGTATGGCATTCTAACATTTACAGAACAGGAACTCCTTAATATTTAAGTGAAATATATACCTCAGGCTTCTTGACAAAGGTATCTGCAACCATAAAAACTATCCAGTAAAGATGAACACTCTGAATTCTGTTGTAGCTCCTTAACAAAATTCAGAACAGTCCAAGATTCTGAGTCGAGATGTTCCTAACTTAAATTGGTAGAGACAGGCCTTCTGAAACTGACTGATTGTAGGGGCTTAAAAAAAAAAAATAACAACTAGAATTCCAAGAGACTTCTTTTTATTTTTGAGAGAGGTGGCCACTCACCATGATTATGTTCCCAATCACTAAAACTCTGGTATGGGCAGAGACCAGAGCAAGCAGAGTTCAGAGTAATCAACCAAGGGTGTGTATAATAGAACAGGTACAGTGGACAGCTCTGAAAGGAAGGATATGCATTTAGAGAGCAGGGAAGGGAAAGCAAAGGGACTCAACATACTACTTACAGTGTCATCGTTTTTGTAAGGATTCAGTCTATTGTAAACAGCTTCGATTACATTCCGCCTAGATTTTTAAAAATGCAAAAAGTTAATTCTTTAGAAAGTAAAACATTGCTTAAAAACTCCTAGCCAGGTGTCCACTAAAACCAGATTCTTACATTTAGAATATATTGTAGTTCTAGTTTCTGTTGTCAATAACCAAACATATCTTTGATTGTGTCCTAACGTTAAAGCAATGGCAAATTTACTCTAAAATGTACTATTTTCACTGGTCTAGTTAATAGAAAAGCAGAGGTCACACTTACAAACCAGCACTAGTGGTCTTTGGTTAACATTTGTGTGCATGTGTCTGTGTTTGTGTGTGTGCATGTATACATGAAGGTTAAGGACAACTTAGAGGAGTCTGTTCTCTCCTTCTTCTATTCAGGTCATCCTCCAAAGTAACGGTTTAAACAAGAAGAAACCTGAAAATCTAATCTAGGGGCAGGGAGAGATAGTTCAGCTGGTAAAGTACATGCTGCACAAGCATGAGCATCTTAGTCAGGATCCCCAGCAGCCACATGGTGGCTGATGCCTGTAACCTTAGGGGAGAGAGGAGGAGGGTGGTGGAGACAGTGGATCCCTAGAGCGGGCTGGTCAGCCAGTCTAGTCAACTGGTGTGCTCTGGGTTCAATGAGAGACACAATCTTTAAAATTAGGTGAAGGGTGATAAAGGAAGACATCTTTTGTAACCTCTAGCCTCCATATACATGCACACATGTGTATATGAGGCCTACACACATGTACACACGCACATAATTAAAAAGCAAAAGCCATTATAGATGGTCTACTTCTATTTGAGCTATGAGTAAGCAATAGCAGTGCCAATCTTCAGACAGACTAGTTAAGAGTTCATCATAGTCTGGAGGTGGCAGTGGCTTTAACATCTGTTGTGATAAAATTCGGCATTCACACCTTGTTTCTGCTTTTCTTAACATCCCTTTAAAAACTCCTATAAAAACTGAAATGTTAAATATAACATTTCCATGACAAGCATAGAAATTAACTTTGGAATAATATTTTATTTAAAAATCTGGCTACATGTGGAGGTATACACCTGCAATCCCAACACGGGAAGGCTGAGGCAGGACGACTATGAGTTGGGAGCCAGCCTGAGCTACACAAGGAGATTGTGTCTCAAAAAAACAAGAGCTGTCCCTTTGATCCTCGGTGATAGAGTACTTGCCTAGCAAGAATGAGGCCCTGGGTCTGATCCTCAGTAACATAAGATAAATACATACACATACATATATGTTTGTACATATATAGGCACACACGCACATACATGCGTGTACACATATATACACACATAAAATAAAAATGCAATTGTCTTTGTGATAGCCTCCCTACTTGCAAATTGATTTGAAGCAATTTTATAGACAGTCATATCATATATAGTCATATGAAAGAAGTTTTCAAAAAATAAAAGTTTCAACCTGGAACTTTTACAACTACTGGTAAATTACAAAAACTACAGCTACATTTGCAAATGTGAAGCATTAAAGAAATGATCAACAATATATCAATGTAAAGCAATTATTTAGATAGTTGGGATAAAATGTTTTAAGCACTGAATGAGAAAACTGCTTGAATTCTCCAATATATATTAACTACACATATAAGCTTAGCATCTACCAGATTAGGCAAAAAAAAAAAAAAAAAAAAAACAGTAAAGAGAAGCGCTGACTGCGTACCAAATGCTTGGAGTTTTCCGGAATGGAAGTCATTGAGAAGGCTGAGGAGGCCTCGCTCCATCTCCTGCACATCAGAGACATCGGTGAGGACATCTGACTATCCTCCCTGACACCAAACATTTACTAACCAGCTATCAACAACTTAACCCTGGGAAAATCAGAGATGTAAAAACATTGCCCAGATGGAGTATTAAGTTATCCAAGGATCGACAAAATAACATATCACCACCATTGTGTTACTACCACCCCTCAGACTTTTAGCGTGTCATGTAGTTAGTTAAAAAAATTCTTTCGCTGTCTTACCTCATTTATTCTCTATGAGGAAAACAGTGTTAACCCAAGTCTACATTCAAGACGACCCTCGATATAGTTATAAACAGTGGTATTCTGTTACTTGTTTCAAACATGCACTGCATGTCCTAACACTAAAATCCACCGACATTACAGAGCAAATGCACACATTTGATCAAACAGACACCAAATATTTTTATTTAGTTGTAAAGTCTAAGAGCGTGCAGAATGTAACTTACTTGCTTGCCAATTCACCCCCTGGTGGGAGGCTGGGTATGTTCTCACTCGCTAAAGTGCGCATCACGTGGACTAAGTCGGGGACGCCTTCCCCCTGCTTCTTTATGATCTCTGGGAATCAGAAGTACTTTTTTTGTGAGTGTTATCAAAATTTAATTTTTAAAACACCGCAACAAAGATATGTTAGGTTTTAAAGACTGCATTTACTTCTACTACATCTGAGATTTTCTAAATTGGTATCATTAAGCATAATCACTAACCACTGAAAATTTATGATCAAGGGATGCAGAAAAAGACGAAAGATTAGCTTCAAAGAAACAAAAAAAAGAAAAATACTTCATGTTAAATTAATGTGTTACATAATCAAGTTTATGTGTACAAATGAAGATATCCTTTCTTAAGAGGTCAACTAGTTACTTCTAAGGAAATCACCTCCTTTCTCAGACTAAATACATATTTTTCTGGTTTTTACCCTGTAAAATACATTGCAGAAAAGAAAAAAAGCTCAAGATTTGAAAAAATAACCTTTAAGCACAGGGGAATTTACTGAATATACTAACTCAAATCATTTTTACCTATATACTATATTGCAAAATAATCCTTAAGTAGCATGTACAGATTAGATTATGTACTGGAGCATCACTCTTCAGATAATTTTCCTTTAGAGTATATTTAAATGATTCACAGATACAGAAAACAATCTCCTTCCTCCACTACTTAATAAGCAAGGCTTTAAATGGAAAAGGTCTAAATTTCGTGACGAAAAATTTAAAAACAGAAAGACTTGATAAGCTACACAACTGCACTTAAAATGATTAGGTGGCAGTGAGAGGACCCCACCCGCAGGGTCACCATGAGATGTGCAGTGTTGTTCTTATCTGAGAACATCACAAACAGTGAACAAAGAACCTTATAGAGAACTCTAAAGCTAAGCACAGGAGGTCATCTGGAGTCTCAGCACACTCACTCCAGATGCAAGGTCAAGCCAAAGGCACCTGCAACTTACATGTTCAAGTTTTGTTCAGTTTTTGTTTCTCAATGTTTATACATTAGGTATTTTGTCACTGGGGCAAGAAATGACTATTCTAGTTTTCCACTTGTAAATACCTCTGAAAATAACAATGCATATAGATTTTTCATTCTCCAATCCAGCCTCAAAATATTAATTCATCATTAAAGGCACAAATTAAAAGATAGACATTGCTACCCATAAATTTTTTTTAAATGGTTCAAATTGTCCTTTTAGAATAAAGGCCAAATTTTTACCATCTATTATTTTATGCCTTGTTTTCTTTCTTTCTTTTAAACCAGTCTTAAATCTGAACAAAAAGCAAGGATCTCAGATTCGGTTTGCCAAGTTCCTTTATTGTGTATCTTTAACATCTAGCATACTTATTTTCTACATGGTTCTAGTGCTGAAAATCTACTATACAAAAATAAAGGGATTTGATGCTTACCTAAACTACACAATTTCACAATCTAAAACTGAAATACACTTAACATACAGTCTCTACTAAGCCAATACAATTATTTGGTTAGAGCACTAGATACAGGAGAAATGAACACTGATAAATTCAACCAATGATGGTTTCAGTTCTAAAAAAACCATTATTATATTTGATGCATCTCACATCTTCATTAAAATATGTTAGGATATTTTAACTGTGAAGAATACAGGAAAATAAATTCTTTTTAAAAATAAGAGCTTTAGAAACAGTTGATATTTCTTATTTCATTTGGGACACTTCATTTAAACTATGTGAACCATTATACTAGCCTTGCTTCCTTCTGCTATTAAAAAAGAAATGAATTCTAAGAAATATTCTTTTAATTGTTCTTGAACTATACATTTTAATTACTGTAAAAAGACTAAGTGCTTTCATAAAGAATATATATTAAGAATTATCTATTTTTTTCACACACATATATACAAACATATTCTGCTCCTCCCCACCTTCCTTCATAAAGTTTAAGGAATTCTATCAGTTTCCTCCAAATTAGCAACTTTAGAGCTCAGAGAGTCAGATCAGTAGCAATGATTTAGAACTTATACACAGATAAATATAATCTTAAATTGGCTTAGAAGGACCATAACTTAATGGCAGTCTAGTTAAACAAGGAACTGACCCTTTCAACACCCTCCCCGCTCTGTGAAGGGAAGAGGCCACAGAGAAAGCAGAGCCTGAAAAGCTTTGTCCTGGTGCAGATAGAGAAGCCAAATGTGGAAAGCAAAAGAATGGGGCTTAGTAGGTCACAGCACTTTAGTCCAGGCATGTATTTAAAGAGAGAAAAAGATATCTGGTGCCTGTTTTGGAAACTGCAGTATTTCTTCACTTAAGACATACAACATCTTTTACAGTGCCGACAGATACATTCTATGTCTTTAAATAGCAGCAGTTTTATTTAATGTATTTTCTCTCTACCTGCAGTCTCATTAAATTTAAGAATATCACACTTAATTTATGACACATAATCTCCAATTCAATGGTACAAGTATAATACTTGAACATATCAGAAATATCAAATATTAATGTAAATTCTGCCCAGGTGGCAACTCTGGTTTGATAGTATGAAATATAAAACTTAATAGTATAACAAAATTATATAGTGAATATTTTATAATTCCACCAAAAACTTACTTTAAAATAATGCACACTGAAGAGAAAAATAGCAATTTATTTCTAAAACTGGATTTCATTTCATAGTAAAAAAAATATTAAGGTACTTATTATTTCTTTATCCCAGTAGAAAATGTATGCCCAAGTTAAAGTGCCAAAACATTAAATACCAATTGATCCCTATACATATTATAGTTTCATATTTTTAATAATCATCAATTTAAGCCAACAATTTTGTAGCATTTCAAGTATTTTTAATTTTACTGTTTTATCTACAAACAACACTAAAATAACTTAAAATGTAAAAATTCTAAGACTCTTAAAAATAGTGAGGAAAAAATGCATTGAATAGTACATCCAATGAATGAAATACTATAGTACAAACACACAGTAAATATTACCATCAAGTAAGGGAGGGCAATAAAAATGAAAACTTTTCAGCACTCTAGATGGTACTGAAAATCAAAACCAATCATGATCTAATAATGGACTGGTTATCACAGATATCAACAATAAAAAGGGAGAAAATAAAATCAAGGTGCACAGGTATTTTGATAATGAAGACATAACAGAATGCAATAGTGTGGAAGTGGAAGGTCAATGCTTGCATGCCACGACGTTTTTAACATGCAAATTAATATCAGGAGGCCCTAATGCATTTTTCACACTATTAAAGTCATGTGGCGTTCTTCTGCTTAGAAGAACTACATAATCTACATGCTTGTTGTTTATGTATGCAGTAAACTTCTTCAGGAGCCTTAATGTTTATGCTAAGTGGTAGCTGCAGCAAAGAGGATTTAAGGGCCAGGCTGCTGCTCAGTGGTCCAAGCACTTGCCTATCATGCATGAAGTCTTAGATTTGATTCCCACAAACAAACCACAACAAACAAAACCAAACAACAGAAGATTGTTGAATTTTTTCAAATATTTAAAAGCATTACATCTTCAAATACAAACACTTTCCTATTTGTTCTAAACTAATTTGCGTAAGTACACAAATGACACTCCTGGAGTTCCAAACCAATTTCTTGATCCTATTCAATAGCTAATTTCTGCTAGGTAGAGAACTACTCTGCCTCCTATTGAGGGCTATCTTGATTAGGTAAGATAAGTTCATGGCTTGGGCAAGAAGCAAAAATTTAAAAGCTGTGGCATATGAAAGTTGTTAATATCCATGTGACCTTCAAGTTAAAAGTAAACAAAAATATTCCAGAGATTTTAAGTTAATATACACAGCTTTTCACAGGAATGTGGTATAATTCAACACATGACAAATAAGATTTTCCTGGCATAGAAGTATTCATGCCAGTGAGTTGATCAAGAATTTTAGACCCACAACATCTCAGCCACTGAAAACATACTGTACAAGGCCAGTGTACTAGTAATTTCTAACACGACTGACAGGATAACTGTATACATACATCTAAACAGCTATGACAGAAGGTCCTTTCCCCCTTTTACACTAAGTACTAGATGTTAAAGGCATAGAAAGAACTAGAAGCTCTAAAGCATTAACTGAGTGTTGGAGGCTTTCTGTAGTAAAGCTACTTATTGTGCGTTAAATGATCCACCTTCTACTCTGTACTCCAGGTACTTGTCCAGCTCGGCCTCCTTCTTCACTGCTTCTGCAGACACTTTAGGTGCGTTTGGGAAACAGATCAAAATCACACTCATGTTGTCTCGACTTCCCTGGGAAGAAAAAGTTGAAGAAGGTATTTTGGCTTTCTTTCTACTTTTTAAAACTGTGTGAATGTTTATAGCTATGGCAATTATAATTACATCATTTCTAGTGAAAATGTTATTTCTAATGAGGAAAAAACATGCATGCACATGGAGGTGGCAGTTGCCTTCACATAATACATTATATTCTACAATCAACATTTCAAAAGACAAGAGAGAAACATTACAGGTTAAACTCCACAGTAAGAATCATACCTAAAGAGTCTATAAAACAAAACTATTTCTAAATATTTACTAGTGGCCTGCTTTACTTGAAGCCACTCCTGACATGTATGAATGACACAAACACACACACTCCATATAACATGTGGAGAACCTCAGTGTTATTCTTTGGAATCCTGTGATTTTATGTATATTCCACAAAGTTACACTTAAATCACAAGTTGTGGAGTCAATGTATTTGTCTCCTAAGTAGAAATGTGACATTAGAAGCAAAAATACATGACGGTTATAAATCAATGTTTAGCTTTCCTAATAAAACTTAATTTAGAAAGTACAAGACATCTAATTATTCTAGTTGTTGTAATTAAAACACTTGAATTGATGGTGTCCCTGCACTTTTTTAAATTTAGCTATATGGAAAAATTGAGTATTCACTAAACAACAAATAATTCACTTAATATTAGAGAAAAAAATCATAAAATGTGGCAAATGCTAAGGTAATCAACAATGTTTAAATTAGAGCAAAATATGGAAAAGATAAAGTAAAATTTGAATATTTACTAAAATCTTAATCTGATAATTCTCATCAAGTTTTTTATTTAGCTAGCAGGTACTTAATTCCCAAGCAGTATCAAACAAACAACAAATGGATGCTGACTTCATGTACACTAAAAGTGACCAAGAGCACATCTACTTTACTGTTCTTCCAAGTTCAGAAACTGATAGCACATCCTAGTGAACTGTTACTCTGTTGCCCTTTAAAAACATGCTGTATGTTACACAAACTTATTTCTAAGTATAATTAGATTTTACACTAAGCTTGGTATGTGAATACAAAACTACAATGAATATGATGTTGACCTTTTTATTTCTGTGCATTAGAAGAAAATCAGATGTATGTCCTCAGAAGGTATATTCTTAAACACATTTTCAAATAATAAGTCAAAGAGCATTACTGACAAAACAGAACAGTGCAGTAGAAAGATCACTGAGCCTAGCTGAGGATCCAGATTTTCTAGTCTAAATGCTGTGTCTTAATTGTGTGGTACTGTAGAAGTTGAGTCCTAAGTTCTCCTGGAAAGCTAGCAGTTTACTTCATATCAGATTAGAATACATATGAACATATGATAATATGAACATATCAGCTCACTAATGTAAACCCTCAACAGTCCTATAAATTAGATAATATCTACATTTTATAGGTAAGAGAGGTTGAATAATCTGTTTAAGAATGAAGAGTACAAAAGTAACAGAGGTAAGCCTTGATCCCAGGTCTGTTTGACTCTTAAGTCCGCAGAACCTTCTCTGGCTTCAGCTTCCTCATCTGTAAAATAAAGGGGCTCAGCTAGCTTATCTATATACATGATCCCATTTGATCCTCCCAACAACCCCACAAGATAGGGTTAATATCTTACCTTAAACAGCAGCAATAAAAACAAAGTGATTGTCCAGATATTTTAAACAGCTTACCTCTAGTCACATAGTCTCATACCAAATTCTTCTGAATTCATGTCCGAGGTTATTTATACTACATCATACGAAATAATCACTAAATTCGTTGTACTGGTGCTACAGATTCATTGAACCAGAGTTCCAAAGCATTTCCAGAAATATACTGAGATGTCACATGGTAAAAATACTAAAATACTTTTCAGTTACAGACACTGAGATTAAATCTTCCCCACCCTCTTTTTTGAAAGACATGCATTCTAATATAATCTTCTATAGTACTAAAAATCTTCAGTACTCATAGATAAAATAAAAATAAAAAAAAAATTTAAAAAATAACTAAATATATAACTCTTACACAGATGGTTAACTTGCTAATTTACCTCTAAAGCGTCCTTGTATTTTCACAATTGGTAATGAGTAACCTGTAACTGTGCCAAAAACTTATGTTTGTGATCTATAAGCTCTAAAATGATTGAGAGTAATAATCAGTGGCATAAAATCATTGATTAAAAACAAAAGTCTAGCTACCTTATACAAACATGTGTCGACTACTTCATTGCAAACTTTCTCAAGGTCATCAGTGACTTCAAGTCTGGATCTTACAAAATCACAGAGCTCTTCATTTCCCATAACATCCCAGATACCATCACATGCAAGAATAATGAACTGATCATCTTCTTCTGATCTTTCGATATCGTGGACTTCAGGCTCTGGTGAGACAAGCTGCTCTGTGGGACCTTTTCCATGAACACATTTGTAATCGAAATCCCCAAGGGCCCTTGAGACAGCCAGAGACCCATTCACACGCTGAATCATTACAGAGCCCCCTGCATTCTGAATTCGTTCTTTTTCCAGCGGATTACTTGGTTTATGATCTTGTGTGAAGAAGTGAACTTTCCTGTTTCTACAAAGTAAACCTCTTGAGTCTCCACAGTTAATGAAGTAAGTATGTTGGGGAGAAATTAAGACACCCACAGCTGTTGACCCACTTCTATCTGCACCATGTTTCTTCTCTGACATAACTCTCATGTGTTCATCAATCTCCAGAAAACCTGTTCTGATTCCATTCTTTACGTTTTCCACAGAAGGTGCTCCTGCAGACCCCTTAAAATCCTGGTTATTGGTGATGTGATCTAACAAATGCTCACAGCAGTATTTGGCAACCTGAGAACCAGCATGCCCATCATATACAGCAAAGAATGACCATGTCTCAAGTCCACTTGGCAAACCGATCACAGCTGTGTGTGCATCCTCCATTTCAACTCGCCAACCTTGCATGCTGCTTAGGCCGTATCGCAGCCCATTTCCCTGCCCCTGGGCATTATGCTTTTCCATCTTTGGCTTGTCTAAAAATGCTCCCATTATGTCTTGATCCTTTAGGTCTGCAAAGGAACAGAAACAAGAAAGTCAGTAATTGTCTTTGAAACAAAATGCACATCCAACAACCTTTTTTTTTTTTAAGAGTCTAAGATACAAAGGAAGCTTTAAGAACTTACAACTCTTGCAATAAGCAGACACTGGGTTGTGTTGCTGACTTTGGAATCTGGAGATTAACAAGAAAGAATTGGAGGGGAAGGCTGACTGAGTAGAGTTTAGAAAGACAAGAGGCAGAGGGAACTAAGCCGTGTCAATCAAGAAAAACCAAATAAATTCAGAAGACATAAGGATATCTACTACTTCAAGCACCTTAGAAGAATACTCAAGAATTTTCACTTTGATTCAGCCTTTTAGTTTTGATCCCATTTTAAGAACCCAATAAAAGCAAAGAACAATCAACTTGGTGCTCCAAATTTTCATGTGCTTTTCTTTATCCTTGCATGTCAGTCTCCTTAGCTGGAACCCCCTGTCCCGCCTCTTTACTTACAGAAAAAACTACATCCATCCTTTAAAGTCTAGTTTAAATTGGCTCCTTCTATGAGATTTTAGGTCTTAAGGCAAACCAGAAAGTTATTAAATTGTCCAGCTTCAATTTTCAAGTTGCATTATACTTTTCTGACAAGTTTATTATACAAAATAGCAAAATTAATCTGATTAAGTTAATGGTACTAACATGTATCACTATTATGCTCTATGAGCATTAGGTATAAAATTAAAAAAAGATCAGATGGTCCAGTTACACCCTTGCTGAAAAGCTTGAGAACTGCGTTCATAATAGTTTTCCAATACAGTCAGCATCCTGGTTTAGTATGGCCCCACACAGGCAGACTGCTGAGATTCAGACTGGCCTTTGCTTAAGCATCTTAGTAATGTAGAGACTTTGGTCCAAGCAATCAAATGAGTCACAAACTAAAGAACAGAATACTGAATAGAATACTGAAAAGAGAATGGAGGCAAAGAAATGTGTAAAGGGAACGATAAGGGTGGAGTTCTGAGACCAAGGATTAATGATGCCAGGAACGCTCAACTCAGAGAAACTGTAAAAACCCCTTAGGGAGGAAATAAAAAAAAAAAAAAAAAATGGTTTCCCAAACCGTTTCCCCCTTTCTTACCGATACACAGGGAGAAAAGAGTGGTTGACTTGTGATTAACATGTTGCCTACTCTTCCCCAACTGAAGGTAAATTATACAGTAGCTACATAATTCATTCTAATGGTGTTCATGAGATCACTTTCTCCTGTTCATCTGATACACACTAATACAAAGTTGTTTTTACTGGAGAAAGGATAATGTAAGTTTCCCCCTTTCTTACCGATACACAGGGAGAAAAGAGTGGTTGACTTGTGATTAACATGTTGCCTACTCTTCCCCAACTGAAGGTAAATTATACAGTAGCTACATAATTCATCCTAATGGTGTTCATCAGATCACTTTCTCCTGTTCATCTGATACACACTAATACAAAGTTGTTTTTACTGGAGAAAGGATAATGTAAGCATGACCATATTAGCAGATAAAGTTTAAGAAGAATTTTGTTAATCTGGTGTTTTTATTTGCTCTGTTGTGTGTGTATGTGTGTAGGAAAGAGGACAACTCTCAAGAGTTGACTCTTTGGCACCTTGTGGGATCCAGAGATTGAACACAGGTTGTCAGGCCTATTATTATCTCATTTAATCTCAGCAACCTTCTAAGGTTGATACAATTATTAACTACAATTTATAGATGTTCTATAGAACCTTACACAAGATATAAGATATTTCAACAATTCTAGGCTGGTGAGATGGCTCAGCAGGTGAAAGGTGCTTCCTGCCAAACCTGATGACCTACCTAGTTTTGACTCTGACCTACACACACACACACACACACACACACACACACACACACACACGACCAATACCAAACCCAAAACGTAAACATAATTTTTTGAGGGAAGGTAGAAAGGACTGAACTCAGTGCCACATTCATTAGCTAGACAAGCATCATACCCCTGAGCTATACACTCATGTCCTGAATAATATACTTAAAAACATACTTGAAACACATTGTTCATAAAAGGCGGAGGCATTTCTCACCTATCTAACAATATCAGAAACTGGAAGAGAAACTCCCATAATCCCCACTAATAGCAAAAGGTAGTGAAGCTGAAGGCACATGTAGCATCAGTTCAGCAGTTCTAATTACCTACCTATTCCAGAGCAGTGTGTTGTAAATGGCAGACAATACCTACGTGACAGACACCAAATCAGTGGGTTATGTATAACCTGCATTTAAAAAAAAGATGGAATATGAGTGCCACCCCAGCTAACAAAGGGAAGTAAATACTATGCCTTGAAGTTTCTGTACTAGATGTACAATTGTGTTAACTAAGTTGAAGTATGATTCTTACTGTACTCAGTGAAAAAACTTGAAATTTGCCACCTTAAAGAAACTGCTCCATTTGCCTACGGTAATGTGCACAATGCCTTTTCTGAGAACTGTAATAGTAAACACTGGAAACAACTGCTTTTAGACTGCTTTTAGCGGGTAGAATAAATAATGGAATACTATTTAACAACATTGATCTAATTATATATTAATATACATTTTTTTTCTTTTTGGTCTTTTTGAGACTGGTTCTCCCTGTAGCCCCAGCTGACTTGGAACTCACTGTGTAGACCAGGCTGGCCTTGAACTCAGAGAGATACACCCCTGTCTCCAGAGTACTGGGATTAAATGTGTGTGCCACCACGCCTGACTCAATATAGGTATTTCTTTTTTTTTGTCTTTTTGAGTCAGGGTCTCCCTGTAGCCCCAGCTGTCCTGGAACTCACTATGTAGAACAGGCTGGCCTTGAACTCACCTGCCTCTGCCTCCCAAGTGCTGGGACTACAAGTGTGCGTCACCACTCCTGGCTCAATATAGGTATTTCTAACAAAAGGCAACATATTGAGAGGAATGCAGCAAAGCAATTCCATACACATTCGCTGTTATAGTATATAACTAGGATGAAGCCAGCTTCAGGACAGTGGCTGCCAACTCCATGAGAATGGGGACTTTATTCACTGCTGTGCCCCCAGCACTTAGAATAGTCCCTCATACGCAGCAGATGTTCAATAACATTTACTGGAGGAAAGGTTTCAGGAAAAAAAATCCAAAATGGCAACTTAACTATATTGTTTTCTGAACTTTGAAGGAATAACAGGGACTTTAGGAACATCAACTGTTTGCCTTTCAGTTCTTCCTTTAGAGTAAACTGAACTCTTTCAGAAGGAACTTCTAAGAAGTCAAAGAAAAATAAAGAACAAAACAAAAGAAAACCAAGAAATTTTTTAAAAGCACATGGGGTTGGGGGGAGGTTAGAGAGATGACTCAGTAGTTAAGAGCACTGGCTGCTTTTGCAGAGGACCTGGGTTCGATTTCCAGCACCCACATGGTATCTAACAACCACCCATTACTCCAGTTCTAGGGGAATCCAACACTCTCTTCTGACTTCCACAGGCATTGCACAACACAGGTATACTTACGTAAATGCAGGCAATACACTCGCACACATAAAATAAAAATAATAGGGGCTGGAGAGATTTTTCAGCAGTTAAGAGCACTGGCTGCTCTTGAAGAGGACGTGGGTTCGATTCTCAGGACCCACATGGCAGCTAACAACCCTCCTGAACTCCAGTTCCAGGGGATCTGACACCCTCTTCTGACCTCTTTGGGTATTGCATGACACGGGTACACCAACCAACATTCAGGCATTATACTTATACACATAAAATAAAAATCATAAAATATCTTTAAAAATTTACTTTCTATAGGGGGCTGGAGAGATGGCTCAGCAGTTAAGAACACTGGTTGTTCTTGTAGAAGACCAGGGGTTTGAATCCCAGCACCCACACAGCAGCTAACAACTGTCCATAACTCCAGTTCCAGGGGATCTGACGGCCTCTTCTGTCCTCCTCGGGCATTGCATGACACGGGTGCACTTAACTACATGCAGGCAATACAATGATACACACAAATAAAAACAATAAAATATTTTTTAAAACTTTACTTTCTATAAAAAATATTTTTTAAACTTTACTTTCTATAAAATGTAAAAATAATAAATATTAAAAAAGTAATGTCTCATATTTATGGGGGGGTTATTAGCAAAGCACCATTCTAAGTTTTATTCACGTATTTAAAACAAATCATTACCCCAATCCTAAAGGATAGGTATTATTATTACACCCTTATTTTACCTATAAAGGAGCTGAGCCACAGTGAGGTTAAGTTACTTATTGAAGGCCAACGGCAAGTTGCCTCACCTGGGTGTTAATTCCCTTGGGTAGATAGGCTGGCATGGGGTGGTGGTGGTGGTGGTGGGGTGTGTGTGTGTGGTGCGTGTGTGTGTGTGTGTAAGATACTTGATGCCTACTAATCGAGTATATCTTAGTTTCCTCATCTGTACAACATGCATATTAATATTTACTTTTGAATGTTGTTGCAAAAAGCCTGACAAAAAGGGGGCTGAGCAAAGGACTATACTCCTACAGTCACATCTAGATTCTGACTTTGCCTAAGAGACTTTGCTTTCCCTTTTAAAACAAGACCAATACTTACTTTCCAGATACGTATTCGAAACTACCAAATAATTCCTCAAAGATAAAAGATAGGTAATTCAGAAACTTCCTTGGGTTCTAAGTAATTTGTAGAGGTCTGGTGAAGCAGTCATATGCTACATAAATTCAGCAGCTTGTTATGTAAATATAATTCCAGAAAGTATCTATTTTTCATAATGTTTATATAGACCTCTTGGATTAAGTGGACGACTAAAGAATATTTGACTTAGTCCAATTATTAAATTGACAGGTATATGTATATATGTGTGTGTGTGTGTGTGTGTGTGTGTGGTGTATAATAATTCAATTGGGCCATGGAAATTTTTAACTCAGTTTCTGAAATTTTAGTCTTACATCTACTTAAGCACATCCTGGGTTGTAGAAGTGCAGCCTGAACAACCAGCACATGTGCACTGCAAACGCACCAGAAACATCCGGCTGAGGCAAACCTGTGTTCTGCCAAAAGATAGAGAGACGGCTGATGTGAAAATGGCCCGATACAGAGAGCCAATGAGGAACAGACACGACCTATCAATGGACCAATGGGACACCAGGAGGGGGGATATAAGGGAGCCCCATATCCACAATAAACCAGTCTGCAGCTGCTCGCACTGCCTGCTTCTCACCTGACTCCTGGAGTCTGTATTGTGACTCCGCACCAACTCTACCCCTGCCCGGAGGGCCCCAGGACACCCACAACACTGGGTCTCATCAGAAATGTTATTAGTTGATCTGAACTTTTCTAAAATAAAGTACTATGACAAACATAAGATAAATTCATCTTAGCTATAATAAAAACAAAAAAGGTTGACATTTTAAGTCTTTTAGACTCAAATCAAGCTCTAAATTGGAAAAAAAGGCATTCATTAGAGGGCTGGAGAGATGGCTAGCAGTTAAGAGCTAGTTCAGTTCCCACCACCCAAATTACAACTAACAACTATTTGTAATTCCAGTTCCAGGGGCTCTGACACCCTCTTCTGACCTTCGTGGGCACTGCACAATATGGGTGCACTTACATATATGCAGGCAATACCTCATACACATAAAATAATAAAACTTTAAAAAGACTCTAAAAAAGAAAAATTCATTTATTAAAGGTCAGTCACTGCCTTCTTTTTTCTGTAGTGCTAGGAACCAAGTCTAGTATCTGGTACATGATGTATGCGCTCTACAGTAGGGCTAAATCCCCTGATCCCCAGCTACTGTCTTTCATTAAATAAGGCCAATCTATTAATCAACAATCTACTACTCATAGTTTAATCCACTAAGAATTACACTGAATAATAGTTTCAATAATTAGCTTTACTGTTGAGACTCCTATACAATTACACATTAGCTCCTCAATAACAACGTATTACTGTTTTAGGGGCTCTTAAAAAACTGAATAAAACTCTACAAGTACTTTCTGTTTGCCTATGGACACTTAGTCTAATAAAAGAATCCCTCCAGTTTCCATGTCAAAATGAACACGTAAACCATGGGGGGAAAACTGATACTCTTAGAAACTGCTACCAGATTGATTCTCATGTTCAATCCCTGTATTTTCTGAGAAGCAATAATTAAGAGTAGGTATTTAAGGAAGGGAGTGGTAAGAATGAAGGATGCTTAAGTAGCAAAAGAGCTAAGCCGGCATTTCAACAGGGTAGATGATGATAACTAGAGGACCTTTGATGAGCATTAAAATAGGTTACAAAAATTGAGAATGGAGTGGACTGCATGAGTTAAGAGCCTAAAAATGGAAAGGAAATCCAGAGGGAAAGTGTATATAGTAAGAGAAACTATTAGCTTTCCATGGAAAAGGGGTTGGGGAGAAAGCACTACTACAACATAGGAAGCAATGTACAACAAGGCAATATCAAGTTATTCACAGGGGGATGTGAAATATAAACTGACTACTTCCCTCAAATTCTTTACATTCTATATTGTAGAGCAGTAACCACCCCCCGCCTCCCCCACCCTGTTTGTTGAGATAGTCTTACTATGTAGCTTTAGCTGGCCTGGAACTTACTATGTAGACCTGACCTCAAACTCAAGAGGTCCACCTGCTTCTGCCTACCAAGTGTTAGGATTGAAGGCATGTGCCTAGCTTCTCAGCAGTGCTCACATAGGAATGAACTTTGCCCTCAAAGGGTCGGCTAGCCTCTAGAATTCATATTTACTGAACAATGTACTATTAGGCAATATATGGCACAGCTGTGGTTCAGTGAAGCAACACATACTGATTGCAGCCACATCTCTGTAAAGGATAATTTAGACGACCCAAAGCACTTTTAACTTTGCAATCCATGATTTATAAATTATTCTACAATCTACGCAGCTACCTCAAGTTTACTACAGAAATGAGATAAGACTACAGCGTGTGTGAGGGAGGCAAGGAAGCTAACAGGTAAGGGGAGAAAACCCAAGATGTCAGCACATAACTATTTACAAATTGGATTTTGATATTTGCATAATCAGTCAAAATACAGAAAAGTCTAACCCTATTTTATGGGACGGTAAAGAGAAATAAAATGACCGTAAGGGGAAGACTAAGACACAGATTTCTAAACTTGCACTCCAGTTCTCCATGCTATTACATGAACATGGAAATGAAATATGGAAACCTTAAAATGGTTGTGTATGGGGGGATTAATTACTACAGAACAAAGCTAAAACTTCCTTCAGTGTTAATACCCCTCCCCTGC